GGGGGGGGGGTTAAAAAAAACAGTCTCTTTGCATACGTGTATCGTTGAGCAAGACTAGTTGGGGTGTTAAGGGGGGGAGTAGCGGGCCTGAGGGGTGTTTATCGGTGTGAGTGGTGAGAGGGATGGGAGGATTGGGAAGGGAGTAGAGTTTATGTAATTATATATATATATGTATATATCTGAATTATTGTAATGTAAAAGGTGCTTAGAAGTATTAATGTTAGAGTAGGGGGTTGGGCGCTTGCAAGGATTCTTTTTGGGGGGAAGCGCAACTCCATGCTATGTATGCTCACAGCATTCCTTTCTTTGGGCCGAATGTCGCTTTCTTGGTGGGAGGAATAGTTACGGGATTGCTGCATTGCGGTGATTGTTACCTTCTGAAGTGAATGTTGGTTTGCATTTCGTTCTTTTGTTGCTTCTTGAAGTGAGGAGACTTTTTGCTAATTGTAATATGCAAATCGAGGCAAGGGCGTATTTTCCAATGTAATTTGAGTGCTTGATGTGCGCAATTGCTTTTTTGAGGGAGATTGGATGATTCGTATACTTTGTCTTGGTATAGTGGCAGTGTATGGTAAAGTTCGTAGGCCGAGGTGTATGCCTCGATGTTGTTTTAAATCCTGAATGTGGAGGTTTCAGATTCCATCTTTTGCTTTTGTTACGTGAAACGGTGCGGGGTGTGGATGTGCGTGTGATGTAGATTAATTAGATGCGTCAATACAAGAAAGATGGATCGTATGTATCAAGTGTAGGCTGGCCGATGTTGTGTTAGATAGACTACATAAAGCTGGATGAAGAAAAAGTATCTTTGTATCAGGCAGTGTTAGAATGGTAGACATGTAACGCCTTTCCCCTTCTGCTAGCCCTTGCGCACAACCATTCTTTGATATGATAGCTTGTAAGGGATTCATCTAGAGAGTGTGGCAAAAATACAGTCGTAACGAGATATAGGGCGTTGTGACGTCTGATTTTCGTATCGACTACTCAAGGAAAAACAAGTCTACGTAATGCTTGGAAAGCCATGTTTGAACGCCTAACTCACCAGAGAAGAAAGGGTAGGAATCTACAGTTGCACGTAGACCAAGAGTAGACCAAGGATACCAAGAGTGGCGCCTTACGGGCTCGGCAGCACGGGCAGAAAGACGTGCAGCGGAGATCCCGCGGGTCTCGAATTCGTGCATATGCAGCTTTTATAGGCGAGAACGGGGTGAAAAGAGACATGTGTCGGTAGCCAATGGTCATTGTCAAAATTAATTTTTTTCACCAAGTTCTCGGAATACTAGTGGCGAGTTGACAAGTGGTTCTTGTGGCAAGTTGACTGGGGCTGTACAAGGCGAATTTGAGGATTCCTAGTTTGACGAGCAGAATGTCGGAAGAATGCGCAGAAATGCAGATCTTGGTTTAGCAGAGTAACAGTTCAAGGTAGCTTCTCGACATGTAAGGTATGCCGAGGATTAGAATACCAAGGCTATAGGTATACTGCAGTGCTTCATGACGTTGGTACATGGCGGGTTTCAAGGAGCCAAGTGACGACAAATGGGCTGCAAGATGCTTCATTCTGGGCTGTCTGAGGCAGAGTGCTTGGCGTACATTGGACTGAAGCATATGGGCTGATGTCTGTGGTGGGAGATGTGCCTGTATGGCCATGCACTATGATATACATGTGGTGTGGGTGGGTCCAAAAAAGGCAACGTCTCCTGTAGATGGAGTGATGTCGAGGGAGGCGACGCAACTCGTCTTAGGGAAGAAGCATGTCATGGTACATAAGGTAAGCTTGCTGAAGATTGCCATGGCGGAGTCCGGAATGCTTAACGGATAGACGGCAAGGCGGAACAATGGGTTTCTACTGTGGCGTCAAATAACAGCATCGAGTACAGTCTTCCTCTCGTGAGTTGTAAGCTTGTAGATTGAACGCATGCTTCGAGGAAGTACTCTGATTGGTGGGCGGAGCGGTGTATAGGAGTAGAGGGCGAGACTTGGCGGTAGCAGAAATTTCGAGGGCGGACTTAGAAAATTCCTGGGCACACTTGGCGGATTGCATGGCAAACTGCCCCGAGCGCGACGTCGAGGACAACGTGCTTGTATCCCCAGCTCTCGTTCGTCCACACTCCATCCCCGCCCCCTCCCCACTGCCATGCCGTCGCACACCTGGCTCCACTGTATACGCGACCCTGAAGCGGCAGTGGGTCGCGTGCTCTCGCTCCCACCTTTGCATCGTCTACATACGCCAATGGCATGCCATTCTGCCATTGTCGACACTCCACAATTCCTACTATAGACCCAGAAAAAAACACATCCTGTTGGTCGATAGACCGTGGCCAGGTCTAAACAGCATGATGCCGTGGCTGGAACGATCCACTTTGCCTCTCCGTCTCATACCCACATGCCGCGGTCTTGTCATTCACTTCAGGGTACACTGGCATCGAATTCATACAGCCAAGCTCCCACTCTCTCAATGGCAGTGCTGTCTATATAAGATAGTTGTACCCAATCCACCCAGTGGTTCCTCATCCCGATCACCTCGCAACATTTCTCTTGTTCCAGTTCCAAAGGCGCAACAGCTCGCCGCCTTTGCCCAACCATGGCTCCCGCCTTGAAAAAGTACAACTGGATCCTTGCCATCACCACCATCGCCTTTGTCTTCTCGTCGGCTTCCAATGGTGCCAACGATGTCGCCAACTCCTATGCCACCTCGGTGGCTGCCCGCACCCTGAAGATGTGGCAGGCCGGTGTCCTCGCCTCCTTCACAGAGTTCTTCGGTGCCGTCGCACTCGGTGCACGTGTCACCGGTACCATCAAGGGAGGCATTTTTGACCTCGAAACTTTCAAGCCTGCCCCTGCTACGCTCATGCTGGCCATGGGTTGCGCTGAAGTCGGATCTGCCACCTTCCTCACCATCGCTACCTTTATGGGTATGCCCGTCTCCACTACGCAAACCGTCGTCGGTGCCCTTGCTGGTGCTGGTATTGCTGCTCAGTCGCCTCTTAGCTGGGGCTGGAAGAAGGGTTCCATCTCGCAAATCGCTGCCTCGTGGGTCATTGCGCCATTCATCTCCGCTGCCTTCTCGGCCGCTCTGTTCTTGACTGTCAAGTTTGGTGTGCTCCACCGAAAGGACCCTCTCAAGTGGGGTCTCCGCCTGATCCCATTCTACCTTGCCTTCACTGCTGGTATTCTCGCTCTGTTCATCATTGACGAGATTCCAAACGGCAAGAGCCTTGAAGAAATGGGCCCCGGCATGGCCTGTGGTATCATCCTCGGTGTCTTCGCCGCTGTCCTCGCTATTGCGTTCATCTTCTTCGTTCCCTACTTCCATCGCCGTCTTGTCAAGGGCGACGCTAGAATGAGGGTCTGGCACATTCCCCTTGGCCCTCTTCTCTACCGCGAGAACCCTCCAATCTACTTCCCCGGCAAGGGAGACCAAATTGTCACTGACTACTATGCCAAGGCAGCTCCCGCAGACAGCCTGGCTATCCAAGACAAGCTCAAGGGCGAAAAGGAAACCGCTCGTCCCAATTCTTCCGATAACCAGCCAGCTGGTAATGGTGACAGCATTGACGTTGAGCGTGCTGGCCGTGGTCTTTCCAACCCTCTCCCTCCTAGCGAAGGTCCTATCGTCCACCTTATCCCCGCCACACCCGAGCCAGAGGAGCGCTGGTTGGAGCCTGTCAAGCACATGCCTTTCTACTCGCCCAAGAAGATCGCCAACTGGACCAAGTTCATTCTTCTCCAGGGTGTTTCTCGCGATGTCGTTTCCCAGAAGGGTAAGTTACATTACCTCCCCTTACTACAGAACCATGTCTAACATACTTGGCTAGATCTCGGTGCTATCCACGCACGCGCAATCGTCTACGACAACCGCGTTGAGCATCTCTGGACCTACGCCCAAGTTGCTTCCGCAATGATGATGTCTATTGCCCACGGTTCCAACGATGGTAAGCCGCCACTCTTCTCATCCCCAACCCCAACCCTAACCTTAACCCTCACCACCACATGCGCCAACACCTGCTAACTCATCACCCCACAGTCGCCAACGCAGTCGGTCCTTGGGTAGGCTCCTACAACACCTATACTACCGGCACCGTCACCAAGGAAGCCGACACCCCCATCTGGATCCTCATCGTTGCTGGTCTCCTCCTCGGCCTCGGCTTCTGGTTCTACGGCTACCACATTATCCGCGCCCTTGGAAATAAGATCACTCAGGTCTCGCCTACTCGTGGTTTCTCCATGGAACTCGGCGCCGCTATTACCGTGCTCCTGGCTTCTCGTCTCGCCCTTCCCGTTTCCACAACCCAGTGTCTGACTGGTGCTACTATCGGTGTTGCCCTGTGCAACTTCGACATGAAGGCTGTGAACTGGAAGCAAGTTGGTTTCATCTTTTCCGGGTGGATCATCACTCTGCCCGCTGCGGGTATGATTTCGGGTCTCATGATGGCTATGGCGCTGAACACGCCGCACTTTTAGTCTTGTTTGCATTGTTTTTCTTTCCCTCTTTCTCATATAGACTTTGCATTTTTTATTTTGGTTCTACCTAAAATCGAGATTCTTAGCGAGGGCCGACGTGGGAAAAAAAGTGTCTGTAAGGTTACGACACACGCCGTATGATTCCAATCGGGGTATCAGGTTACTCAAAAAGTATCACTATAACGAATAAAAACTCGTAATGACCAAACATTCAAACTTCCAAATTCGCTTCAAAGACTTCTTGGTTAGTGCTTTGAAACTGTATTTTCCATTTACGATACGAGATATTTGTACATGAGAATGGCTCCTGAGCCAGACACGGAATAGAGAAGCCAGAGCGGTGTAGATCCAACGACACGTAGGTACAACGACCGGAAGTCAAATAGTGGAAGAAAAAAAAGAAACAAGCAAAAAAAGAAGAAGAAAGATTTACAACAATATGCAGAAAGCATAAACCACTCTCCCCATATCCCCCACTCTACCCAGCCTCTAAGCAACAACCTCCCCCAAAACACCAACAACATAACACACAGCCGCCGCCCAAATCGCCGTCTTGACAACTCCGGCACCACGTCCCTTCTTCTTCGTACTCCCCGCCGCTGACCCCTTCGCATTCTCCCCCTCAGCACCAGACCCCAGCACCACCCTTTCCGCCGCGCGTCTGCGCTCCTCAAACTCCTTCTCTAGCTGCTCGCGATTCTCCTCAGGTCCTACATATCCCGTTGGGGAAAGACGCGTAGTACCATCGATTGGATTTACGGTTCCTGCGCGCTGGACATCCGCTTCATCTGCGGCGTCGCTGTGCTCAGGGGCGTGTAGGGATTTTGGGGTGCTGGAAGGGGATGGGGCGAGTACGTTACGTAAGATGAGCATGTCTGGTTTTGCGGTTACAATTTCCACATCTGGGGTTATGTGAGGGATGAATTTTGAGGGGGAGGAGAGGGTTGCGAGGGCGGTGTGGAGGGGGATTGTGGGGGAGGGGTCGCGGGGTGGTGGGGAGGTGGAGGTAGTTTGGGTGAGGGTGTTGGTTTCAGCGTTGTGGATTAGGATGGTGTAGTGGGTTGGGAGGTCAGTGGTTGGGATGGAGGATGAGGTCGTTGCTGAGGATGTCTCAGCGATGGTTTCTGGAGATGTTTGAGCAAGTTGAGGTGTTGGGGTAGAGGTTTCGGCCAAGGCCTCGACTTGTGCGCTGGTAGTCTCGTTCTCTGCAGTTTGTGAAGTGGTGACTTCAGGCTCAGCCGCCTGAGTGGAAACGGCCTGTTCAGGAGTCTCCTCATTAACCGTAGGGTCGTCTTTCAACATCTCAAACTTCTCGACAGAATTCTCTTGGCTATGCTTTACTTCATCAGCAGCTGGACACTGCTGATGGTCAGCAGTAATTGGCCCGTAAGTATCTTCGTAAGCCTTTTGCACTTCAGCGACCAACTCAGCATCGTTGTACTTCTGTTCCACTTCCTCAGGTTTGGTCGCTTCGATTCTTGAAGGCAATTCACTGCCCAAGCTCTCCAGCACCGGTCCGAAGGGCCTATAGAGGCTATGATCAAGCGGGCTACGCTCCTCAAATGACTTCTTCGCCAGGGCCTTTGGCTCCCGCACATACCCATCGTCTGACAGTCCGCGCATTGCTGACTTTTGTGCATCAACCTCGTTGGCAAGGTGTTCTTCAGCCGCTATTCTAGCACGAAGCTGGGCTTTGTCGATCATGGTCATACCAGGAGATACCTCATGAGACGCCTGCCCATCCTCATTTGGCGTATTCAGGATGGTTTGGCCCATGAATTCGGCCTTCTCCACAGTCTGTGGTACTACCCCGTACACCAACATAGCACGGTCTACCAAACGAGACAAAGCCATTTGGGTATCTCTCAGCGTCAGTAAACTATTAGCTACAGCCTTGTAGTTTACCAACATGCTTCGGTCGATTTCCGGATCCTCGAGACGAGCTTGCAGACTCCATATCAAATAACGTGTGAGATGGGCGTTTTTCTGGATGATTTTCGCTGACAAGCCGAGTCGTTGCTTGAAAGCCAAGGGGGGGTTCTTGGCAGCTTCGGATTTGCTGATCTCTTCCAAAGCCGCGTAAGCCTTATTCAAATCATTGTCCGTGTCTTGATACTTTAAACGCAGGGACTGTATCGCTCGGACCTTCTTGGGCGTCAACGAGTGCATCTTGCCGCTACCTGAGCGTTGTCGCAGAGCATGGATTGCAGAGTCCAAGACGTCTTCGTCGGCCTTCATGCGCTTTAACAGTGCTTTAGACGCAGGAATATCTGTCTCTAGATCCTCAATGACTTGTCGCATGGTTGAGCGTCCCTTGCGAATACGCTCGAGCACCTTGTCGAAGAACAAGCGGGTCTTCTTTGCGTCTGCTTCTTCTGTGGGGTCTTGCCAGAAGTAGCTAGAGAATATGGCACCACCCTGCTCAAGCCAAGATCTCATACGCTCAATGCTAGACTCCATTTGGGCCTCGTTTGCCAGCGTCGATGTCTGATCAGCTTTTTTAGCCGGCTGAGGTTCATCCATCTCCTTTGGCTCTTCTGGCATCTGCATCTTACGCTCTATGCGACGAATAAGTTGGTCGTTGATGACCTTGGATTCAATCATCGGGTCAACTTCGTTAGTCTCAACGTGTGCTTCAGCAAAAGACTTTTCTAAGTTTGCTCGTTCTGTTTTCCTTTGTTCGTCGCTCAAGATTTTACTCTTCTTCGTACCCATGGACGCTCGGATCTCAGCTGCACTCAAGAAGTCAATGTCATCTTCAGGCAGCTGACTGAGCGTTTCTGATGTTGACTTTGTAGGTGTGGTACGACCTCTCAGTGAGTCAACATGCTCATTGAGCGAGGGCTTTTGTTCTTTGTGCACGTCTGGGACAAGAATAGCTTGCTTCACTTCTGGCGCTGGAGAGTGCTTCTCTATGGCTGCAGTCGGTGGCATAGGTTCGGTTTTTTCGACGATTGGCATGATACTCGAAGACTCATTATTGGCGTCTTTCTTCATCAAACCGTCTCGCAATAGACGCCTCTGTAGCGCGGTTTCCTTCCAAGTCGAAAACTTAGGAGTGTCGACGTTTGCCTCATCTTGTGAGGGCTTTTCTGAGAGAAATCCATCCATGAAAGAAGTCCCTTGGGATGCTGTAGGCTTGCTCAATTTCTCGATCTTCCCTATCGCATCCGAGTTCGACTTCTTTATGTAATCGCTGAAGGACTGTGTACTCTTCGGCGGTGTCGGAGGTGACGATTCGAAAATGTGAGGTTCATTTGATGAGGAAGTGGAAGATTGAGGGTTGGGTTTGGGTTCAGTACTCGGTTCTATGCTTTCTCCAATGACTGTGACGTGAGGTTGCTCACTCGGCCTTCTCAGGTCCGAGGGTGAAACGATAGCACGGGCATCGTCGCCACCGATTCGCGTGGCCCTGAAGGAAGGCTGCGGGAAATGAGATTCCCTTTCCTGGAAGTTTTCTGGACCATCATAGTTCATGTCTTCTCTCTTCACATTTCTCTTCGAAGACTTCATGTCTTTGTCGCTCTTTGGTTGTGGCGTGGCATTTTCATAGTCGTTCATCTCCCTCAGCATCCATTTGGGAAACGAGTTGCTAATCCACTCCCAGTCTTTCAATCCCTTCCCACTTAGCATGCTATTACTCGCACCGAAGAGAGCTTGATATGGGTCCTCCATCAGCTTCTTTCGCCACCGCTGGTAGTGTTGCAATTGTGCCCACTCGAGATTGGACATGCCCGACGGGCGATTGGTGTCCTTATCGTCTCCATGTTGGGAATTTTGCGATGGTGTGCGAGAGAAGCCTCGGGTACGAAGGGCCGCCTCGTGGGAGCGGAGTAGACGTTGCGCATAGCGCTGGACAGGGGAGATGGCCGAATCGCGACGCCACCAAGTCATTGTCGAGGTAAAAGGGCGAATTCGGGAAGGACTGAGATGAACAATACTCTAGAGTGATCACTGTAAAGCCATATGTCAGCTTACATAGCTACATATTGGAAGTGTATTTACCGTTGTATCAATCCAAGCTTCACTGCAAGGCACCAGCGGCTCCTTTCGGAGCAGAGCTGATATAGCGGACAATGGTCACATGAAGTGACGGATTAATCTAGCAAATAGGAATAGGAATGGTTCTTTGATCAATGCAGTCTACTTGAGATTCGATACAGGCGCGATATGAGAGAAAAGACTCGAAGAGGAGCAGACAATCAGGCGATGTGCTTTCAGGGAGCAGTGGCGTCGCCGTATCCCCGCGTAAGCTCCGTGCGGCCGCTTATCATAGTTCGCGGGGTACGTTGGCTTGCGCGTGACCGTGCTTGATCGCGTCATTATTTACCGATATTGCCTATTTTGTCGCTATACATAAATGCATATGCTCCATCTATTGTCGCGCAGACACTCGCAGTCAAGCCTTGATTGCATTCGTGGGCTTTCAGGGGCTGATGATGAGGTTGGACGTGCAGTCGCGTCGCGCCTTCCCCGCAGCTTCGATAAGGCGATAAGGCAATGACGCTAACGAGGCCCGTTAGTGGCGACTTCTCCAGGTGAGTTGTGGAGAAGTATTTCCTTTTGAACCATATAGAATTCCAAGTAAATGAGCCTTAAAATTCTACTTGTAAGAGATCGAATTAGCGTTTCTTAGGGCGAGGCTTAGTTGGTGTCTAATGCATTAGGTACACGAACTAGTCGGGTACTTCTACCCATCTACAGATGACATGAACAAGGACGCCTTCCCAATGCCAAATCGTTACTTTCCATACATGCACAACCAAGTCCAGCAAAAGCTACACAAAACTTACGCGCCAGAAACGGTTTCGCTGCCTCAATCCGCCTGATTCTCCAGCAGCCTCCTTTCTTCGTCCTCGACCTGCTTCACCTTGACCTCTCCCTTACTCGCTTCCTTCTGCAGACTGACTGCAATCGCCGCTGCAATGATAAGCACCGCGCCCACCAGACTCTCTACAGGCGGTGTAGTACCCCATATGAGTCTTTCCACTATGAGAGCAAATACTAGTTGCACATATGTTAAATTAGTAGCTCGGCCACCCTTTTCCCTTTGCAAACCCTCAGTAAGCAAAAACTGTAGCAAAAAGCCAAAAATGCCGATGATGGCGATGAAGCCCCATTGCACAATAGTCTTAGGAAGGACGAAATGCAAATCTGGGTGCACCATGATAATGATGAATGAAGCTAGCGTCGCGATGACGGAAAAGTAGTTGACCGACACAAGAGAGTGCGCGCGTTTTCCTATAACACGAATAGTGGCATAGGCCGTACTAGCTCCTAAGGTACCAATTATGGCAACTAGGATAGCGAGAGCGCGCTGTTCGGGACTGACGGAGGGGACTGGCACTTTTGGGTCATCGGAAGAAGGGCGGTGAGTCTGCGGGAATAGCCAGGGCGGACGAGCCACGAAGAGGACGCCCGTAAAGGCGATGAGACTGCAGAGCGCTTCCTTCCATGTAAAGGGTTCGCGGAGCCAGAGGAAACAGACTATAGCTGTCGTTGTGGGAACGATGAAAGTAATTACGGTGGCATCAGCAATTTCCAGCCATGAAAGAGAGTCTGGAGAACGAGTCAGTCTTTTCTTCTTCTTCTTCTCTTTTCCTTTTTTGTACATTGATTCGCTTTGCGAGAAATAGCCAGCTGGAAAGATGCGATAAGAATGCGATATAGACTTACAATACAATCCAAACAAGCCAAAGAAACCTGCTGTTCCGCGTAGTACCAAGAGCCATCGGATGCCTCTCTGTCCAAAAGGAAAGTCAGGTATACCCTTGTACCAAGAGTATATCGAGCAAATGATACTCGTACATAGCATGCGGATGAAGATGATCTGCAGCGCATGGAACTTTATACTAGGGTCGTTTGCCAGAAGCTTGGCCGCTATGTTCATCTACATTATGGCCGGGTCAATCAAGGTATGACCAAGGTAGAAGCTGAGGACATGGAACTTACGACAGATCCGCATGTTTGAGCAAGAAAAACGAGAAAAAGCCCAAAGTTTCGCTCGTAGAAGCTTTTGATGCTGGATCCTGCTCTTTCTAATAATGATGCATCCTGCCTTTCGGAGCTCGCGTCTTCATCAGCGTGAGTTGGCGATGCAGCCGCCGGTAATGTGCCTGGAGCAAAGCGCACCTGAGCACGTCCCGTCGCTGGAGGCGCTTCTTGTATCGTGCCGTATGACATTGTTTGCTGGGTATCCCTTCAAGGATAGTAAGACTATATCACGCCAAGTTGGAGTGCAAACTGCTCTTTAAGAGAGCTGTTGTTCTGGTTGCTTTCAACGGAGCGAAAAGTCAATTCTTACTGGCCGCGTGACCCACAAAGTGGGTCGAGCCCTCTTAGTCCGACGAAATACTCGGATAAAAAGTACACCCACGAAAACAGCGCGATGCCAAAGACATATATCTGAATACTAGTATTATAGAATATTGTAATGTTTCCTTATAGTGTATTCTTCCATCGGTAAAACTCCGATACTCTTGCATATAAAATAATGTTTTTCGTTATGTGGTGGTGAATGCGGCTAGTTGCCAATGATAGCTTTGTTTTGATTGGGAGCTATTTTGATCCGGATATTCCGTTGAACCAAAAGCGAGTGCATGGACGCTCCAGATTAGTCCGAAGCCCTCACCAGACATGCGACTACCTCACGTTGTGGATGCTGAGCTGATACAGGCTTGATGTAGCATGTCATTGTGAATTACGATCTACATTTATTCATGTCCTTTCTGTATTTCTTCGGTAACACCATGAGTGTGGAAACTGTTGGGCAGACTAGCGTGCACTGACATACGGCTGGGTATCATCCAATCCGAGAATGCTGTCATCGAAATAAGCTTAAGTACCCACCCGCCCTTAGCCAAGTCACCGTCGACCGAAGCTTTATTCTACCGCACTGACCTAAGACAGGTACGACACATCAACCCAGTCCTTATAGTTGCTTCCCAATATATCGGTAATGCTGAGAGCAGCTTTGAGAGTCTGCCCGAATGATCTTTTACCCGAGGCACCTGCGCCGGTGTTTTGGTATTCGCCAAAAAGAACATGATCAGTTCTCGCGTCGCCGGTGTTCCAGGCAGCCCAGCCCTGGGGATTGATGACGTTGCTGAGGTCGGTGTGCTGGAACACAACACGAGCGTAGTTTCCCCATGGACGACCAAGGTAGTAGACGCCGGATGAGACGGTAGCTCCAACAGCGGGAGATACCTTGGACTTGTTGAAGACATAGTACGACGGGTTCGAGTCGGCTGCGCGACCGCTGGCAGTAATCCAGCCGACTTGAGCGCCGAGAACACCGATATCACAGCCATCAAACCATGCCCTAGCTTGTTGGCCAAAGATGAAGTCGGTGGCACCTTCAATGTAGGATTTCGCATAAACTTGATTGCCGAGCTGGGCCAACACGGTGTCTTGGTAGCCTTTGAAACTGCACCCGTAGTAGCCTTGCTTGTCAGCCCATGCGCTCACAGCAAGCGCTTGGGATCCCTGGCCACGGGTGTTGACGAGATTGACATTGTAGACTTTTAGATTGGGAGTGTGCGCACGAAGTGTGGCAGTCTCGTCGTTGGAAGGAGTATCGTTTTGGCTCTTGCGCTGGGTGATGGTTACAGTATTTCCGCTGTAAGATCTAGTATCTTTGGTCTCGCCATAGATTGTCAAAGGCGAATTGAGTTGCTGGATGTAGACCTGTTCTGTGTAGGTGCCTTTGGCGATGAATATGCACTGAGCCTTCGAGGTGGACTTGTCGAGGGCGTTGACTGCAGACTGTACAGTTTTGTATTTGCCGCTTCCACCTACGGTCAGACAACCGGCAGGGGCTGACGTGCGGTCAAAACTCGCACGTCGAAGCACATTTTCAGCAGGCGCTGCAGCAGTGGCAGCGACAAGCGAAAGGAAGAATACCAAAGTCGGATGCATTATGAATAGGAAGAAAGGAGAGGTGAAGGTGCTCGGTAACTAAGGGCATATGGACGCACATATGTATGCTTTCCACCCCTGGAGTCTTCCAAAGCCCATTGGTCCATTGATACAACTTGCTAATTCGTTTCAGTAAGTATGTCTGTTTCGGCGCTATACAAGAGAGACCCGGCCCGTGTTCCTGGTTGTCACCCGCGTATGTCCAAGGCTGCGTGTGTGGGTCGTGCGCCTTGCCACCCTGGTATTGTTTTTCCACAATGGAAAATCTTGGACGACTTGGGCGGGTTACCGGAGATTTTGCGGTTCACCCCGCATATACTCTATTCATGTTAAGCCCGACTCATATCTCGGGTTGCTTGCCAAACAGCGCTTGGCCGTAGTGTGTGTGGCTTGACGCATGACCGCAAAGAGTGACGCGGCGGTGGATATAGACTTGCTGGACGCTCTCACGTGACTGTATCTTGGACTACACAATAAGACAGTGGACGGCTTCCAGCAAGGTGCCTCAACGAGGACGGTTGTGAGACGCTGCGACTAGCCATCTATACTTGAGCGCTACACTCGTGCACAAAGCGCTACGCATACGTGTTGCTTTGTGTACCCAAGTTTTGAGTAAGACTTAAAGCGGTACAAAGAACTCCTTTTCAATCCAGTTATTTGTGATCATGCACGCCCTGATGCAGCATTTATGCCGTATGCTGAGCAGCTCAATCTACTAGATCTGGTTAGATCTCTCTCCGTACTTGGTGGCCCTTGAATCTACTTCAAACTTAGTACATTAGTAGTGGATTCATACAGAGAAACATACTAGACCCGATCGGGCCACACTAGCTCCCTATCGGCTTTCGGCCATGCCAGCTCCGAAACATCCCATCGAAGCATGACATGGCAGCAAAACACCCGCATCGACTTTCAACACGTCGTGTTATAATTGGCCTTTTTTGGTCATCTCTATTCTTACCTACTTAGCTATGTCGCAATCACAACGGAACAGGCCGGAAACTGATACAATCGACCTCACACTTTCCTCACCCGAGCCAGAGTCTTGGCCTCCATCACCTACGAGAGAACAAATACGCGCGCCTCCGCAGCAATCTCATCTATCCTTTGGACCGACCTACAACACACCACGCGTTAAACAGGAGTCTGATCATGTTCCACGAATTAAATCGGACCCGGGTCAGCCATCGCGCATCCAGACCGCATCTGCCCAACCATCACGTGGCACAATGAGTTTTGGCCAATCAGCCACTTCTAGCCGGAATCTTGTAGCTCCACAGCAAGCCCGGCCGATCAATCCCAGTCACATTCAGTCGATAATTTCAACCGTCAGCCCATATGCATTGCAAACAGTATTGATAGAGCTTTGTCAAATCTCGCCTGCATTCTCTGGCGCGCTTGTACGGGGTCTAGCACCTCACTCGGCCTCTGCACGAAACATGATTAACCAACACCGAATGGAAATCGACCGAAATGCTGCATATGAAGCTATGCATACCACATCCAGTTCTGCTCGGTACACCTCTCAAGGGAACCAGACAAGTTATACCAGACAACATCCCTACGGCTCCCATTCAATACCGCGAATAAAACGCGAGCCACACAGGCCTTCAACTCCTAGTTCTGATAGTGAATTACGTCGTCCTGGTCCTTCGTCGCAGAAAGCAGCGCGTCCAGCTGCAATGCGGCCGCCGTTACATCACTTGACTGGAGGCTCGCCCTCTCCCAATATCACCTCAAATGCAGCTACTGTAACTCAGCCAGCAGACCAAGTCCAAGGAGCGACTCCAAATGTGACCAAGACTTGTAGCAAGTGCCATGAGTCGTTCTCAAGCGATTCCGAGCCCTGTATATACCATCCAGGGAGGAAAGTCAAGCAAGAAGACGGAACTATAGTTTGGAGCTGTTGTCAAGAGGACATATTATCTGTCGGTTGTGACTTTGGAGGAACTCATACCACCCAAAACCACGAGTCTGCAGACATAGCTACCGAGCGGAAAAGCCCAAGCGGGCCTTCAGCCTCTAATCAAGGTTACGAGGGGCTACATAAGATACTGGGTAGGCCCTCTACTTCAGGCAGGGGCGATTTTGGTTAAGAGCTTAAACTCACACAACTTACGCCAGGAGAGCAATCTACAGTAGTTTGCGTGGACTAACTAGTTCAGTGCAACCCAAAGGGAGATGAGCATCAGTGTCCTCAAAATCTCTTCCTGTAAGCACTGGTACTGGCTTTGGATAGCATGACTGGATGAATTTACGGAGTCAAAAAGCGGATTTCCTGTCGTTACGCACGATAGCTAAAGTTCTTTTCAACACGCGCACTAGTGCGTCACTTTTTAACTCGAACCACACCACTGCCATTCAGCATGCGGAGAATTCTCAGCATCAGGCCCAAAATATGTTACCACCAACTTGTAATTAAACTGGTGTTGTATCCGATAGGTCCCGGATTGAAGACTACCCGGACGCTTACGTTGAACTCTTGAGTAGTGTTTCTATTGCCGCATTCTTAGGGTAGCAGATATTCGTCTTATTGCCCTTTGGAACTGAACAATACCAATTGAGAGCGAGCAAGACTTGATACTGTTTTAGTATACTCACTACGAGAAATGAGATGTTAGCTTGAAGCGGTAGGCATAAATGCCATTTCAGGTGCATTTATGTGCTTGTGGGTCTTGTCCTTGACCTTGTCGATGCTGGTAGAATTGTCGGAGATGGTAAAACTGACTCAAGTATGCACAGATCGGGAAGGGCCCGGCAGTACAATCTGACTTTACCGCATTTGTCTCAAAAGCCGAGTTCACAGATGCATCTACAAAAATGCGTCATATATTGTGCTTACCATCCCGCGTCTCCTACTGTGTAAATGTTCTACCCATGTATGCTCCTTAGATTGTTTCTGCCACCTGAATCGTCCCTTGAGTTGATTGGCGGAATGAGCTGTTAATTGTCCGTGTCGATTAGTAGCGTGAATCTGGGGTAAATTAAAGGATCGACAGGCCGGTACGGTTAACTACCCCTAAACGAGCCATAGAACTGCGCCCCCAGAAACATGAACACGAAGGGACATGAAGGATCGGCAATTTCATGCTCCGCATTATCCAGCAGTTGATGTCAATTCACCCACTGTCAAAAGCCCTTCCTTGGCCGATAACTCAAGGCACCCGGTACCCTTGCATCTACAACCATGCACTTTCTTGCTCTTCTTCCTCTATTAGCCACTTCGGCTTCCGCTCTTGCTTTTCCCGGTGCTGAAGGGTTTGGCCGCAACGCTGTTGGTGGGCGAGGCGGCTCCGTCTATGTCGTCACGAACCTAGACGATTCTGGCCCTGGGTCTCTACGAGACGCCGTGTCCAAACCGGACCGGATAGTCGTATTTTCGGTGGGCGGCCTCATTACCATCACTGACCGTATGGTCGTATCCAAACGCGTGAGCATCCTAGGACAAACCGCCCCCGGTGCCGGAATAACAGTCTATGGAAATGGCTGGAGCTTCAGCAACGCCGACGACGCTATTGTACGCTATATTCGTATCCGCATGGGCAAGAAGGGTGCCAGTGGTAAAGACGCTATTACCATAGCAGAAGGACACAACATGATTTTCGATCACGTTTCTGTCTCGTGGGGCCGCGACGAGACCTTCTCCATCTCAGGCTCTGAAGTCGGAAACATTACCGTGCAAAACAGCATCATCGCCGAGGGTCTAGAAACGCATTCGTGTGGTGGCTTGATGCAGACTGCTCTCGGCAATGGCATCAGTCTATTCCGCAACTTGTACATTGACAACAAGACACGAAACCCCAAAGTCAAGGGTACTAATGATTTCACCAACAATGTGGTGTACAATTGGGGTGGGGGAGGTGGTTATATCGCTGGTGACTCGAGCGAAAGGAGCGAGGCAAATATTGTCGGGAATTACTTCATCAGCGGGCCCAGCACAAGCGTCCCCGCTTTCACGCGGGGCAACGATTTATTTGACGGATTCGTCCAGGGCAACTTTGTTGATTCCGGCAAAGATGGTGTGCTGAATGGAAACGAGCTGGGTGTCACCAAGGAAAACTACGGTGGCTTGAACATCAAAACAACAAAGTTTGCGTATCCGGCGCCTGCAAAGATCTTGTCGGCAAATGATGCTCTCGCATTGGCGGAGAAGGGTGCGGGCGCAAGTAAAGTCCGTGATTCGGTTGATCAACGGCTCGTTACTGAGTTGAAGAGTTATGGTAAGCTGGGACAGTTGATTAGCGATGAGAATGCTGCTCCGATGAATGGACCAGGAACTATTGATGGAGGAAAGAAGTGGGTGGATACGAATGGGAATGGGATACCAGATGATGTCGAGTCGCAGTTTAAGAATGTGGAGGACTGGGCTAATAGTTTGGTGCCGAGCTCGTACTAGGTCGAACGGGTTCTTTTCTTGTATATATTTCTTTTGAGTATGATAATTTGTGCATTAGCTGTATAGGCTATGTCTAAAGTGACTAGATACAGGCATTTTCTTCAGAAAAGATGCACTAATTAATCAAGAAGAAAATTTCAAGAAAGCTTCTTACTAACATGGCACATGGACCGAAAAGGAATTGTTTTCGATACTAAGATGTTCTTCGGAGATCGTGCATTTCTTTTGGTTTTGAAGGTAGGGAGATCTTAGATGTATAGGCACAGTAGCATTCAATTTTTAGGAAAGTAGAAAAAGAATCATCTTACACGAATCCTAAGGCTGAAGCGAGATGTACTAATCATGTAGTAGTATGATATGTGAAGTATCAAACTGCAGTTAGCCTGAGGAGCAGGATGGCGCATGATAACCTATTTAATGCGCTTGACTCTAGTACTCCCACGTTCTCTCCAAGCTCTAGCCCCTCACAGCAAGCCTCTAATCAACATCAATGGGGTTATTAGGTGATTCAGATCCGTACGTACATGGAAGTATCCTGTACTCTACCTATCCACGGCTGATGCCGCCGCCACCACAGGTATTACTATCTCAACCTGCCAGCTTCGGAAGAAAAAATCCCCTGAATAGCGGCCTCATCAGGAAAATAAAATTGAGTGGGTGCATCGATGAACATTCGAATATGGAGGAGAGTTTCAGTCATGCAGTGTTACTTTCATTCTCCTTTTTCTTTTCCCTTTCGATGCTTTCATCTCGAATGTCGTTCCCATAAGAAACTTAAAGAGTAGCTCATATCTAGTGCCACATATTGATTTTAGCAAAAATAGTCTTGAGACATCTCGTAAGATGTGCAATCAAACAATTCTGCATTTTACTTGAACATAGTTTAGGGATATAGGAATCTACATATTACGTGGACAAAAGCGCGCTCATTCATTACATAATCTTGTTACTTTGGTTGGCAGGAAGACCTTCCGAACCTATCCTCCAAATCTGGATCGCAATGGGGGTGAAGAGGGTATCAGCGGCGGTTCTGACTGACTTGTATAGACGAAGTCATCCGAATACGTTGCTCGCCTGGGTGTTGTGGATCCAAGTTGTGGTGTAGGAGCTGCCAACTCATAAGTCCAGTAGTTTTTATCGGCCTGCATTTCTGGCACTTGTTGATCAAGTTCAGCAGGGGAGGTCTTGCGCTCTTCGGAGTAAGCGGGCAGGTTGTTGACTGTGGCATTCTGCTGTGTGTGGCGACGATGGCGAAGGAAGAGGAGAACTACACCGGCACCGAGAAGGGCTACTGCAGCTGCGCCCAGGCCAATTCCTACTTTTGCTCCTGTGCTGAGTCCTGTTGTGGAGGATATTGGATCTGGAGTGGTAGATGGAATAGGTGTGGAAGAGATTGGTTTGTCTTCCTTCTCTGGAAGTGGCGTCCAGTAGCTAGCCCAACTCTCCGTGAAAAGAGTTTCGTTCGTATACACATCCGGTAGGTCTATATCGGCATCATCGATATTCAACATGACATTCCCAAGGCCGTTCTTCGAAATACCGGGGCCGGGAGCCTGGCCCAACCAAGACACTTCGCGATTCCAGTTCCGACCTATGAAGGCTGCTTGAAGAAAAGCGCGACCAAGTATGTATGGAGTGTCTTTGGACGATGGCTCGTAGCTCTGGCAGGGGAAATATGCTACCGGCTTCTCTGCTATAGGAGTATCGAGCGTTAGATTTAGAAGACTGAACGGTACCTTGATGGTTACGTTGTTTGATGCACCGTAAGCCGGAGGAAAAGTGAAGCCAAGATATGCCGGAGAAGTTACAATGGTTCGATAGGCTGAATCTGCCGTATTCCACAGCCAATATCTCAATGTGTCGTCGAATTTGATGGGTAAGTATTTCGCAATCTCTTCGCAGGTTTTGCCAGGGAGATGGATGTATGTTTGTCGTGGATCTGGTAGAGCAAAAAGTGTTGTAACCTGACTCTTGTTACTCAGTAACAGATTATGCTTCTCTTTGAAGCTGAATGGCGAGCCACCAGTAGCGACTCCAATGCTAACGTCTAGTAGGAGTGGAGCTTTGTTGAATGATGTGTATGATCCTACAAGTCTCCCCTTGTCGTAACCACCGATGAGCAAAGAGCCCGGGTAATTATGAAACGCTGATCCAATCTGCAAGCCGTACGAGAATGATCTTGTAGCACTACGATTGTATGCAGCGCCTGCATAGCTGAAGCCAACCATCGGTGCATTGGCGAAGGTCGAATCGGTGGCGAACTTTTGCGACTGTTCTGGTCCTCCTAACGCGAACGATCCTAGCTCCGGTCCACGTACGCTCCCGTCAGGGTTTTTGATCACAATGTCTTCAATCAAGACCAAACTCGAGTTCCAATACGAGAAGCTCTCCACCGTTGAAGCTTGGAGAAGTATCCCTTGTCCACTGGAATTCACCTTAGAGGCTTCATCCATCCAATCTCCAGAAGCACTGACGCTTGGAGGAAAGTCGGGATCCCAAGTTCCTCCTTTGCCACACCTTGAGTTCTTGTATGGCTTGCATGCCTTCGAAGTGAGAATTTTACTATTCCATTCACCACCAGGTAGAAGGTCTAGCTGCCGGTGATCCTCGTTGATCAGGAGAATGTCAGGACTGGTACCGCCTACAGTAACTTTTACTGCTTGCCAGGGGCCATCCGGGCCGTAGTATTGTGTGCTCCATGGAACAGAGATGTATTGCGCGGCGAATACGAATGGCAACGTTTGCAGCAGCGAGCCGGTGATAAGGAGCTGGCGTAAGTGCCGAACCTTCATTGAACAGATAGGGATAAGAATGTGCGTGAGAAGAAAAACCAAAGTAGAGAGAACACAGGCACTAATACATTTGATGACGGTCAAACAGATAGCTCAAGTAAATGAGGGTATGACTTGGGCAAATCAGTTTTACAGTAGTCTAGGAATCGACAGTGGACAGCACGGAAGAGCACAACCGCCTTGTTGCTGTGCCGCAATAAACGAGGTACGTGCTTAAGATTGCACTGAGTCCCTTGACGCATTCGGCTACTACGGATGTGATGTAAGTGATGCCCCTGCATGAAGCCTGCTCCATAACCTTCAAAACAGGACATGGAAGCTTGAGCAGCTCCATACTTTATTTGATGATTCTGCTTAAAGACTGTAGACTTTGCTGATGACATAAGCAGAGTACGCAAATGAATCCCGTGGTGGAGTTTGAGGGCGAAAGCGTGTTCGGGGCGCCGGGATTACAGTTAAGCGCCCAGTGGGTACTTAAGCGCTGAATCCTACATCCCACCACCCTCGCACCCTAGCCATGCTGGAACGTGGCGTTCAATTCACATCCTGATTATATACAAGAAAGCCGCTGTTTCCAAAAGGGTATGCGGGCAGGTCTTGACATCTTCAGGATTTCTCAATTCATCCCACTCTCTTTTTCTTGTCACATATTGACTTACTTTCGGCTCTGCAATGGGGTTGAAAGACTTCACAAGTATCGGTTATTGCACTGCTGCGACAACAGCTGCAATCTTAACAGCTGCAATCAGCCCTCGTTCCCATATTGGGTACACCCCAGTGCTTGCTGAATTAATATGTTGGGCACTGGTCATCGCGTGCTTTGGAATTCTTCAGCGCCTTGGTTCAGAAAACTGCGAAAGCAACAATGTTGCCTCTACGGCGACACTCAAATATCTGTATTGGACCGCCGCATCTTCTATAGCCATCACGGCAATATCTTCTTCCTTTGTTGATTCTATATGGATTACTGTGAGCAGATACTTGCTTACATACTGAAGCCTGCTAATGTAGTCTTTGAAGCCTGTAGTCGCCTTTGCACTTCTCGCACGTCGTCCGACTTCATTGGTGGCACGCCTCCACGCATCACTACCCAGACACATTCAATATTCGTGGTTTACATTCGCAATAGGAATGATCGTTTTCGTATCACTTGTCCCTAATCTCGATACAAAGACGCTAGCTTCCGCTATTCCAATCACTCTTGGCTTCGTGGGAACATACGCGTCTCTGATCCACATTTTCGGCGCCGGGAATGACCAGATTGATGGAAAAGAACGATTGGAGACCCCGCGCGTCATCTTTTCCATCGCATCGCGTACCACTGGATTGCTTATAGCCGTTTCTGTCATCATGGTGTTTACATGGCCTGCAAGCACACTCGACATAACTAACGCAACGTTGGCTGGCGGTCTTAAGGCTACTCATTGGATCATTATTTTCTGGCTAGTATGACTTACCGAAATTCTGAATCGTTTTACATCCATGCTAACATATCCAGACACAAGAGACCCCATGGGAGATCGCGCCTACCATCTGGGCTTATGTTGCTGCGTCAGCCAGCTCTTTAGACCCAGCTTCAGCCGGCACATTAGGCGTGGCTCAAACCTTCACTCGTACAACTATTGCAATTATGAATCTTTACCAAACAATAGACTTCATACCGAAAACGGAAAAAGGCCGCGGGTTACTAGTCGCCTTCGCCCTATGGCCGGTTTCATCATTTGTCCAGCATACTCCACTAAGCCAGGATATAATTTCCTTGCCTGGACCGTCTGACAATATCTCACATCATCCAGTCGAACTACTTGTCCTAAAAGCTCAGGATGGTTTCAGACATCTTGTCGATAAGCAATCAAAGACACTCGAATCCGCTGAGACTGAGTATCGTAGAAGATACTCGCGGCCTCCACCTCCCGGGTTCGCCCAATGGTTCGCGTATGCAAAATCTAAAAACTCCATTCTCATCGATGATTTTGACATGATCAACGAGGATCTGAAGCCATTTTGGAAGATTGCCCCGCAACAGCTTCATGAGAGTATTAACCATGTGTCAAGTTTCGAACATCTTGCCCTGCGTAAATGCGGCTTCACCGACGGACGCTTCCATGGACAAGGCGGCGGCTGGATCGTTGAGGATCTTGGAAAACTCCTTCAGGAGGTCTCGCAGGGTATTCCCAATGTCGAATTTGCTTTCGACGTCGTGGACGAGCCCAGAGTTATCATCACTGAACAGATGCTCGATACTGGAGGCGTGTCAAAGCCCGAGTTCTATGATGCCCATCACCAACCCATATGGGACCGCACGACTAGCGTTTGTGCGCACCCTAGCTCTCCTGGAAAAACTTCTATCATCCATGACTATGGACTAAATCTGGTCCAAGATTGGCATCAGTCGAAGGATGTTTGTTCCCACCCCGAGTTCAGTCTTATGCATGGTTTCTTCTCATCACCAATGACTTCCCTTCTCACAGATGCCCCAATTCCTGTCCTTTCTCAAGCAGCTCCAACATCATTTGGAGACATAATGTACCCTAGTCCCTGGTACACAGCAAAGATGGATCAAGGAGTTTACAAGGATGAAGACGACCCTCTCTGGGAGCAGAAAGCCAGGAATCTATATTGGGCAGGCAGTACGACTGGTAGCTACAGCTGGAATGGCACTTGGCGGCATTCTCACCGTCAAAGGTTTGTTGAATTGGTTCAGACGCTTAATCAAACCAGCCACATGTACCTCGAAGAGTCCAAGCCTGGGCAGTGGACCAGCTACAAAGCAGTCGAGGATCACAGCGACTTATTTGATGTCAAACTCACTGCCATCATTCAATGCGATGATCAAGACTGCGAAGAGCAGAAGAAGTTTTTCACCCTTGGTGAGAAAGAGGAACGAAGCCGGCAATTTCATTCCCAATTCGTGTTTGACGTGGACGGCAACTCATTCAGTGGGAGATTTTACACTCTACTGAGATCTAGAAGTGTTGTACTCAAACAAACTGTCCTACGTGAGTGGCACGATGAACGTCTCATCCCATGGGTTCATTTTATTCCCATCAGTTTATCCATGGACGAACTTCCGGAAGTCATGCGTTACATGACGAGCCACGAAGAAGGAAGGAGGAGGGCAAAAGAAATTGCCGATGCAGGCCGCGAGTGGCATGGAAAATTCCTAAGGAAGGAAGACTTTACGATATATCTCTACCGTCTCATGCTGGAACTGGCGAGAATTATGGATCCGAACCGGCAGGTCGAACATTGAAACAGTTATCGACACTCCTACTTGGCCAACAGGAGATATACATGGAGATCAGATATCTCCGCTCTACTGAACTCGTGGCTTCTCATGACGTTCGGAGCCGCCCCTCACTCTCCAACAGCACCACCTTCCTAACGCCGCTTAGCGCCGTGCAAGTGAATGGGCCCTGTTATCATTTGCACCCTATCGTTACTGACATCATCCACTCGAACGCATTATCAGTCTTCACTCCAACGGCTATACCAGCGTCCAATCCTCTCTTCGCTCTGCCTCGACTATTCGGCAAGCGGAGTGACACTAAGCTATTCTCGGTGAAGGCGAGAGATCTTGCATCTCCAATGCGATGTCGGAACAGGGCTCACGATAAGAGATTGGACTTGGAACATACGATGTCTAGCCAATATGCTGGAGGGTATGGAGAAGGATCTGCAAAATGTAGACCTGAACTGGGAGTATTATGCTAGGTTCGGCTTCGACGTCGGCATCTGCATGCGATGCGGCACATTCCATGCCGACATGTAAGGACGAGGCAGACACACATGCATAGACATACTAAAAGAAAGATATTCTACGAATTCATCTCTTCCCTTTCATCCCGATTCAATCTCTTTCAACTTCCAAATTATCAACTATGGGTGACTTTGGAAAGGACATGTCGAAATCGGAAGACATTTTACCATCACCACAGTATTCCGACGTTGAAATCGGCACTGTGCATGAGACAACTAAGAATGGCGACTCGGCACTCGAGTTTCTGAGAACAGCACATGATGTTGGTGAACTTACTCCTGAAGAGGAACGTAAGTTACTTCGGAAGATCGACTGGATGATTATGCCACTCATGTGGTGCTGTTACTGCCTTCAATATCTCGATAAAACACTAGGTACGTAACTGAATGTTTCTTAACCATGAAGCATACTAAGCTTTGATCACAGTCAACTACGCGGCAGTAATGGGTCTCTACGAAGACGCAAACATAACCACAGACCAATTCTCCAACCTTGCCTTGTTCTTCTACGTCTCCTATCTCGTCGTCGAGTTCCCACATGGCTACGCTATGCAACGTCTACCTACAGCAAAGTATCTTGGTTCCGCAGTCATCCTCTGGGGCCTAATCACTGCACTGACATGCGTGTGTAAAAACTATGGCGCGCTGATTGCTACACGTGTGCTGCTTGGTTGTTTCGAAGCCGCCGTCGCACCCAGTCTGATTCTCATCACCTCCATGTGGTACAAGCGGACTGAACAGCCCCTCAGAACCGGTATCTGGTACCTAGGCGTTGGCACCGGAACAATTATCGGAAGCTTGATCAGTTTCGGCTTCCAACATTACCACAGCGACACATTTACAAGTTGGCAAATCATGTTTCTCGTCGTCGGTCTCGTCACTGTCGCCGTTGGTATAGGCGGTACGTCACCTTCTCCTCTCTCCTCTAGGAACCCATACGTCAAGCTATCCAGCCACTAACACCACAAACCGCAGTGATATTTCTCCTCCCCGACAACCCCATGTCCTCGCGCCTCACCCCCTCGGAAAAAGTCTGGGCAATAACCCGCCTCCGCTCCAACCAAACCGGCATCGAAAACACAACCTTCAAACCCTACCAAGTCCTCGAATGCTTTCGAGACCCCCAAACCTGGCTCTTATCCCTCATAACAATCGCCTCAAACGTGCCCAACGGCGCAGTTTCATCCTTCCAATCCACCCTCATAAAATCCTTTGGCTTCTCCTCCAAAACAACCGCGTTGCTACAACTCCCCTCAGGAGCTATCAGCATCATTTCTATACTAATAGCTACGTACCTGGCCGGCCGCTACAACCAGCGCGGGCTCAACATTGTTACGTTGCTGGTACCCGGGATGCTGGGCGGTTGTCTAATGGCATTCTTACCTAGCTCGGCGAAGATGGGGAAGCTGATAGGGAATTACCTGACCAACTGCATCGGCTCCAGCTTACCGCTGTTGTACTCATGGGTCGCAGCGAATTACGCAGGGCACACGAAGAAAGTAACCATGAACGCGGTGCTCCTGATGTCGTTTTGCTTGGGCAATATCATCGGCCCGCTCACGTTCCGGAAAGAAGATAGCCCGGATTTTGTCCCTGCGAAGATTTCGATTGTGGTTACGTGTGCGGTTGCGGCGGGGCTGGCGGTCGTGCTGCAGGTGTATTATGTGACGGAGAATAAGAAGAGGGAGAGGCAGAGTGTGCGTGAAAGGGTGGAAAATGAGGAGTTTTTGGATTTGACGGATAGGGAGAATGCGAGGTTTAGGTATAGATTGTAGTTTTGGAAAAAAACTCGATGGATTTCCAGACTAATCATACACATACATGTCTTTAATTTCGAACATTTAAAAAAAAACAATTGCTAAGACTTGCTCCGTTTGCTCTGCGACTCCTGTGTAAGAAAAAAAAACCCCCCCAACTTACGGCGTCCCCGCTCCTCCCTTGAGTTCACGGATAATAATCTCAGCGGCCTTCTCTCCAATCATTAGCGCCGTATTATTCGTATTCGCACCCACGTTCTTGGGCGGGATACTCAAATCCGCAATCTTGAGACCCTTGACACCATACACATTGAGATCCTTATCCACAACACCGTCCTCCTCTCTCGGCGCCATCTTGCACGTGCCGAGCGAATGCCATGTCGTATTCACATTCTCCCTCAGCCACTGCTCAATCGCAGCGTCATCTTCCTTTGTATACACCAGATCCTTGACGTCCTTCAGCGGCTCAGTGACGGATTCCTGGACTGCAGCTGCGGAGTTGGCTGGGAAGCGCGGGTGTCCTGCTGCGAGTTCGCCGCGGTAAAAAGTGGTGCGGCGCATGATTTCGCGTTGTTTCTTGTAGGCCCACATTTGCTTCTTGAGGTCGATGTCGTCTTTGTCGTTGAAGAAGCCGACGTCGAAGTCTAGGGCGTCGTCGTGCTTCGGGCCTGTGATGTGCATGTGGCCGCGAGAGTAGGGGTATGCGGTGTATGTTCCGGTGGTAACGTATTGGCCGGCCGGGATGCTGGTTGGGTCGCCGAGGAATCCGGATACCACGCCGCAGAGCATTAGAGGGACGTTGGGGTTGTCTTTGAAGTCTCGGTCCCAGGCTTTCCTGAACTCTGGGCCGAGGGCGGTGACTTCGTCCTCGGTGGGTCGTAGCTTGGAGGATATGTCGATGCCGTTCCAGCCCAGAATGGGGTCTTTATTCTCCATCATTTTGGCTACATCTGCACGCCCGCTGAGGATGGCATCCATTGTTTGGTGTGGCTCGAGCGAGGTCTTGTAGGGGTAGAGAATGAGGTGGTGGTCTTGGTAGTCTTTTCCAACACCTGGTAGTTCTTCTACAAGGGGCACGCCGGCTCGTTGGAGAATTTCTTTTGAACCAAGACCGGAGCGTTCAAGTACAGGTGGTGTGCCGCAGGCACCGCATGTGACAACGACGAGCTTGCGAGCACGCACCTGCTTGACTGGATGCATACTGAGGCCGATAGTCGACTGGAATTCTGGGTTTGGTGTGTATTCTACACCAGTTGCGCGCTTGTTCTCGTCAAACAGTACGCGTACGACCTTCGATTCGACAAGTACGTGAAGATTCGAGTACTTCTCTTGTTCGAGCTTGGGGTGTATGTATCTGTGTGCAGTATCTTGACGTTTGCCGTCCGGTGAGACGTAGCGTTGCCATCGCTGGACACCGTTGTTTTCTTCCAAGTTTTGCAGGTCTTCAATCTCAGGGACGCCGACTTCCCCAGCAGCACGTATGAAGTCGTCTTCCACGTCACGACAACGGCAACCGCCGTCGCTGACATTTATAGGCCCATTGTAGCCGTGATGTTCTTTCTTGCCTGGCCCGTGATATGTCTCGAGTCTCTTTAGGTGCGGCCATACCTCTTGCGCCGACCATCCAGGAGTGTTCCAAGAGTCAAAATCTGAGCGTTGTGCGCGAGTGTACATCATGAAGTTGATCGAGCTGCCTCCACCAAGCGTACCACCACACGGTACGATAGGCTCTCGGTCAGCAAGTTGTTTAGCTTTGTTGCCCTTGTAGAAAAGCGCTGTTTTGGTGGTAGGCAGAAGATTCTGCAGATAGAAAACCGGATTCACAACACTTGCAACATCTTTGTTGTTTGCACCGCCTTCAATCACAAGAATAGAGAGGGAGGGATCGTCTTCTGCGAGGCGGCCGGCTATGATACATCCTGCTGTTCCGCCTATAGACAGCCACTGCGTTAGATTCACGACAGTGCCTAAAAAAGAAGGGAGTGCAACGGACCTCCAGCGATGATGACGTCCACTTCTTCAATGCCATCTGCAAGTTTGGAATAGATGCCCATGGTGAGAATTGTAGGGGTCAGGTGGTGATCTAGCTTGGTTGGAAAGTGATGGGATGAAGGCAATCCTAAAAGTCAATTACTCCGGCTTACTGCAGCATATATAGCAAGATGTGCATACTCTCCCGCTTGCCCAGAGATTCAAGAGTCAGGAGTCAGCCACTAGGACCCTGATACACGGAGGGCAGCATCCGGCATGAGTCTGCCCCGCATTCTGAGTACCGAAAGCCGCATCTTTTACTGTTTATAGCCTGGTTTTGGTGTTCCGAGTGGACCCGCTCCGCATTCGAGAGGCGTCTGGAAAGCAAACTAGAGGCACCGCGTGGTACTAGTGCTAGTGCGAAAACAATTCTCCACTCATGGCAATCTTTCGTGTCGTGCAAATCTCTTGCGCGGGTGGTGAAATGGAAGTAAGCACACCGTCAGGTGTTCCCTCCCCGCACTTCAACCCGGATTCGGTCAATTGCGGCCGTCCGGGTAGACGAAAGATGTGCCTGTACCAACACCCAAAAAGGATGGCATCTCGCCTCAAAGAGGGGAGGGGGTACCTCGGCATGTCGCAAACAAGTCCGCGTGGGCCTTAGTATCTGTGTGGGATTGAATTCAACTCACAGCCAATAAAACATGCAGCACGAACATGCAGGTGGAGAAATTTTCGGGACATGGTTTGCATTATGAGGCCTCCCTTTGTGGGTAAATGTAACGTGTAACCACCCATCTGCATGCCCTTCGGATACTATCAAATGCCTAACCTGTACTACGCACCCTTCCTGTGGCTGTAGCCAATTGGACATGTTTGGGTTATACAAGAGGAGGCCTGATCGCTAGGAAAGAAGATTGTCGATTGTACATGAGCTGGGGAGACCAAGGAAGTATCCTTCTAGACTGAGTGGAGAAGGTCTCAAGACCATGTGTGCATGCAATGAGAGGGACTGCAGGGGCAAAGACCGGGCCTAAGAAGGATGGCCTAGCATCAGGTCACTTAAGAAACTCTCGAACTCAAGGCGACGCTTGCCAGCGATGCTATGTTTTTTGGGTTTAGCATCGGGCGCGAGGTAGTGCTCCTCAACTTGGACCGTAGCCGCCAGCGTCTGGAAGTGTTTGAGAACTTCCATTTTTAGATTGGCGCTTTCGTTATCTTGGACAGAGTCGTACCTGTATATGGAATCAATTCAGCTTGTTTCATTGTTCGTATGTTCGCGGCTTCTACTTACCACTTAATGTCAACCTTTTGTAGATCATGGGCTCCGACAAGATCTTGTAGACAAAGATAGCTCGCTGTTGGAGAAGAGCAGGGAATACGGCTTCGGCTAGGCCAGTCGTATCGGTACGTATCCAGACAGAGTCCCAAACAAACTTCACTTCGGCTTTTCGAATGTTTCGCATAGGCGAGAAAGCGGCATCTGCAATCTTCCCCAACGCTAGTTCGAAGAAGGATGTATGAGCAATTTTGCGAGTTGCATTGATGCGTAAGACAGCGACATTGTAGAACCAGTTCTTGGCTTCGATGTTCAGTTGTCTGGACGTCAAGAGTAGCTCGAGAGGTGGCGGAAAGTGGGTCAAGGATATGAACTCTGGAACATGATGCCACTTGCCGCTGGGATACACAAGAGGCCGATACGAACTGCTGTAAGCATCATGTGCAACAGTGTGAGTCAAGTTCAGATAGCCGACTTCTTCGTCGTCTTCGCCATTGTCTTCGCCATCTTCATCTTCATCGTCGTCTTCGTCCTCGTCCTCGTCCTCGTCCTCGTCATCCTCTTCTTCCTCTTCTGTGTCCGTCTCATCTTCCTCAGTGGTATCGCTATCGCTGCCATCATACTCGCTTGCACATATGACGTCGTTATAGCTGTAACACAGAAGCGGCTCGCGTGCGTTTGGGTTATGGCGCATGTATGCAGCCATGACATCCTCGGACTCCTCCTTCTCAAACCAGTGAAGTAGAAGTCGCTTGGGGTTATCCTTGCCGAATGACGATGCGCGGTTTGATAGATACTCAAAGATGGAATGTCTTACCTCGAGTGGGAGACTCATAAACATGTCTGGAGCGTCGTTGCGAGCCATGGCGGGGAGTTGAGAGTGACGGACTGATGGAGTAGAAGTTGTTATGAGAGATGAAGCAGTAGATATACCACGCTCCAAGCGTGCAACAACTCTGGGAAGTGGCAGGAAAAGAAATCAAGGTCTAAGCGAAGATGGCTCCGTTGCCTGGGGGAGCAGGCCTGGGTGGGTCTATGGGCGTTTGCTTCGCCAGTGACTGCTGGGCCGCAACGCAGGATGGCGTGAATGTGAGTGAAGGGCATGCATATCGATGAGGGTGAAGCCGCTGCCTGTCTTTCCTCACTTCACGGCACTTGTCTAATTACAGCTGGAGCACTCAGCAGTAGTGTCATCCCTGGGCTCCCGACAGTGTAAGCGCGACGTCAGACCCTGACAAGCCCTAATTGTTGACAAGGCTAGGATATCCGTTCTGTTAACCAGGAGCTGGACTGTGTATCTTTTCGACCCAGCATTTCTGCTGGTTGCCGTGTGCAGATTTCCCTGATACACTGTCGCTACCGAGTATTTGATGATGCTCCAAGGGAGTCACAGGTGGTGCATCGTAGGAGGATCAAATGTGGGATAAACGAACACTGCAGCTACCCTTTTACATCAAGCCGCGTTGGTGTGTCTAACATAGACAATTTGCGCCATATCAACAAGTAAGCACTTACCGAGACCACGTTTCTCTCATTATCTCGAACACGAAGTCATCGTGACTACTGCGTATGCTTAGCACATGTGTTGTCTGCTATTGCCATCTTTGGCAGATCGTGAGTGTCACCCAACTAACCCGCTCCTTCTTGCAAGTTCAAGTCAGTGGTAAACATCAATTTCCAACGGCAGCAGCTTCTCGCCACAGATTCCCAACAACCATCAACAGCGCATACTCATTCTACTGTATATAAGCCATCCTTCTAGTCACAACCCACCATTCTTCTTCACATCCACTCCATTCCATCCCATCCACTCTTCTCCATTCATCCAACATCAGTATCTTTATCCGTACCCACCCATCTTCTCACATCCGAAGCTACTGAGTCTCAGCAACAACGTTAGTCATCATGCGCCTCACCGCTAGCGTTCTTGCTGGTTTCGCTGCAGTGGGCTTTGCTACACAGGCCAATCCAACCACCAAGTCAGAGTTCAGCAAGGCCCTTGGTGAAGCATATGCTTCCGAATCTGTTAGCGTTGACGGTAACTGGCGGATTGGCTGTGACAAGAACAATCACTGCTCGTACTATCACGATGCCGCCGCCGCTACAAGCATCGCTGCTTCAGAGTCTGTTCACCCTGAAGAAGCATCGTATCCTGAGCGGTCTGCAAGGAGCGTCAACGCAACCGCCAGGGCCGTACATGTTGCCGAGTTCCCTAAGGTCAACAATACTTCTTCAACCGCAGTGCTTAACATGGTACGTTATCTTCGTTCAATCTTTCTAACGCTCGGTTTTCTTCCAATGAAGTTGATATAGACTTTTCATAGATGGTTCACTGACACGCCTCAGAATGATGACCGATTAGCTCGACACAGCCAGAACGTCTCTCTTCACGCGGATATGCAACCCGTTTTCGGCCGCCATGTCGCCTTTGCAGGAGACCAGTGTGAAGACTGCGATTTAACTGAATGCCCGGTACGTCATACTCCCTTAGCCACTACTTTTTATATCATGGGACTAATCGTCGATGTGCTAGGAATGCCACAGTGACTGTGCCCAGTGCCAACACTTCAAGTGTATCGATCCCAAATTAGGCGTGTCCATGTGCATGAGCGTACGCCCCAAGTACCTGGTTCCCTGCGATCCCGTCCCTCCACCAGTCGTGACCACGACGAAGACTATCTACTACTTGCCCGTGCCTACACCGATATCTGCGGAAACAGTCAGAACCTCACGTCAGGCGAGGTCCGTAGCTACGATCGCACCTCTGCCCATGATTACAGTCACACCCTCTGTTACTATCACAGTATCTACTGTTGTAACAGAGACAACCACCGTTCTCACTCCCTTCCCGAACCAAACTACCAAGACGATTTTCAGGGAAGTCAGCATCGTACCCATTGATCCCGACAGCACCATCTTCTCAACCGAGACCATTGTACACATGGAACCCATGACGAAAACTATCATGCTCGATAGCAGGAAGAACTTGATAATCCCCAAAACCCCAAGCACCAGCTCTCCAACCCCGTCCTTCACAACAGCCCACGGGCCCCAGGTCTCTGGCCCGCTCTCCCGCCAGCAGCACAACATCAGGGAAGCAACTTGCAAAATTTGTGGCGACGCTTCAGCCTGTCAGGTATGTCAAACCTCCCTCCCCTTTCACGCCACTATTCACAATACCTTTGCTCACACATTCAAATACAGGAGTGCACTTTCGCCTGTCCCGACTGCGGCGGCAACTTGTTCTGCAATAGTCCCTTCAGCAGCCGCAACATCTGCATCGATATGTTGGACACCGCGAATACTACTACAGCCTCGGAAAAGATTCTCGGTCGTGCGGCTACACTTCTCGTTCAACAAGACGAAAATGGTGTTGCTTCCAATAACGGGTCGACAATGGGCAAGCCGTGGGAGATTCAAGATGATGGTTCGGTGCTATCGTTGAAGTTTGGGTACTCTGACTGCCGTGCCTGCATTCCTGGAGACAGGGATTGTCGTGTGAGTTTCTTCCTTTTTGGGTTACATGCTTTTAGTGGTGTGGATGTTGATGCTGACTGATATACAGGGGTGTAGGCAACGGTTTGAGTGCAGCGAGATGAACAAGTGTGTTCGCGTTGAGGAGACGGAGATTGTAGAGGTTTGTTACGAGAGCGAGACGTTCTGCCCTGCTTGAAGTGTTCTGGCTGGTTCTCTTTTTATCGGATGAATTCGCGTTGAGTGAGTGGCTCACTGGGTAAGGGATTGACTTGTCGACTGCACTGTTTCGCATGTTTCTGCTTGTTGTTTCGTTCGGCTGGACGTCAGAGCGTGCTCACGGCGATATTCCCCTTTGTCTGTACCTTTTCTTGTACCCTCCGTCTCCTCTATTGCTTCACGCTTCGTTGTAGTTTATTCACTTGCTTTCCAACTCATTCTTCGTTTCTTCGACATGTCTTTTCGATTCATTGCTAATCACTCATGTCCGTCACTTTGCGACATCACACTCAGACCCTCACGATGACTGTAATCCCTTCATACGTCTACGAACCTCTACTACCCCCTTGCCCCACATCTCCCTTGAGATCCTCCATCAAAACGCTCATAAGCTTGAACATCTCACCCGCAAGCTTCTTCCCCGTCTCTCTCCACTCCTCCGCACATAGTCTCCCAAACCGATCCGGATGCCATCGTAATCGCTCTTGACGTAGCCACTCATAACTATATAGCCCACTCGCACGAAGCAGCTTCTCCACATCATGATGACAGGCGTGTATGCTATTCTCTTCCAGCTTGAGCATCTTGCACGCCGGCAGCGCACACGTAGTGAGACTGCCCGGCAGATACGGGAACATCGTGAACAGCTTCGGCGAAGAAGAAGAAGACGGTAACCTGTGCAATGGCGGTGGCGAATCCGAACTAGTCGACTGCGAACGAACCTGTATCTTTCTTGGAGTTTTCTGTTTCGGGCCTGCCGAAGCTGCCGCCGCCGACGCAAACATACTCGCCGTCTCAACCGACCACTTCTCATACAGCGCCTTAGTCGCCGCCTCCTTCTTCTTTTCCTCTGACTCCTGCGTCCCATTCTGCGGCAATCCACCGCCCGGCTCCGACGTACTCTGCTTACTCTTATGCTTACTCTTCGCCTTCGCAAAGAAATTCAGCGCAAACCCCTCAAGCGCATCTTCATTAACGTCATCAATCGAACCCGCCCACGTCCCATCCTTCCTCACGGCAATGAACTGATCCGCGCTCGAAGGATCCAGCGCAATATACGACAGCTGATTCCACTGAAACCCCTTTTCCGCCTTCCACTCCTCAACCGTCTCTTTATAAATCTCCCACGCATCGCCCTCACCAAGCTTAAACACCACATCCCCATACTCGCTCATGGCGAAAAACGCTCCTTCAGGTCCCCACGTCACCATCCTCGGTGGCCCAACCCGCCATCCCGACGGCGTCAGCCACGACTGCAATGCGTCTTCGAGCGCCGTAGGCAGATTACCCCAGCGAATAAGGTCGGGGTGCCAGACCAGGAACCCGTCGTCTGGGCCGAGAAACGCGCGGAGATGCGGCGAGTGCCATGTTTTATTCAGCACCGTCTGCAGCCGCGAAGGCACCGAGGAACCCCATTTTAAACTGCTCTTGCCGGCGCTGTCTTTGGAGCTGAGCACCCAGGATTCGGGCGTGGGGCCTAGGACGGCCCAGTGGACTTCTGAGACGGCTCGACTGAGGAGCTGGTCTTGGAGACTAGATGGGAGGTTGCGACAGTGGGGTGGGTTAGGGATTTATTTTATTTTATTTTTCAATTTCATACGGGCGTGTGCGGGTGTAAGGAGGGCTGGCGGGGAGGGAAGGGGGGAAGTAGTGGCGGTAGTGATGGTGGTTGGTGGTGATTGAACATACTACTGTAGTCCCGCCGCGCTTTTAGATACAAAGCTATCGTTTGGACCAAACGAGAAAAACGACGTGGAACTCGGTGTATTGCTACTCATTTGCTCGAGCCGATTTGACGTTGCGATTGGATGGAGAGAATTATCGGTTATGACGTCATATATGATCTTACGAATCACTCAAAGCCGCAAATCTGTTAGTAAACGAAACAACTTAAATCCTGTATCCTTTTTTTGCCTTAGTTTTCAGGGCCACTCACCGATCTTATGTACTACAAAGCGGCACGTCTCGGGAGTCTTTAAATCCTTCCCCCCTGTTTTTTTGGTCTTGTCTACGACGGCCCTGAAACGCAAAGTGATAGTGGCTCTTTCGCCGTTAATGCTCTTGTTTGCTTTGGCCAACTTGGCTTTTATTCCTGTTTGCAACCTTGTAGCCGATCAAGGCTTGGCAAAAAGGCGGGACAACCAACTTAATTGAACAAACAATAGAAATCCCCCCTTCTTCGTTAGTTTGACCCCAGCTTTCTTACCGTTGCTTTTGTTAGGTGTTTACACACAAGTTTTGTTGTTTAAGATTTATAGCGGCCCAGAACCAAACGGACAAATAACCCGCTTTTTGGCAACTTGCGGTCTTTTGCACACCGCCTAGAAAGACAACAACACGCTCCCCGGATCTAGACCGAACCGCCCGCCCAGCGCCAGCGTTCGCGCTTGAAATCTAAATTAGCGAGTTTCCCGCCGGCGCGCGCGCCGCGAAATATGTGCGACACAACGTTTACGTTTGGGCAGCGGGGCAGCCACTTTTTCCAGTGTCCATCGGCACGAGAATAGTATGGGCTTCCTTTCCCTTTTCCCTTTTTACCCTTTAAACCCTAGCCCGATCCACCCCTCCCCTTTTGAGCATAGTTTTTTTTACTCGTATAGTTAATAATTGTATACCATGTAAACAAGTGTTAAAACAAACCCCAGTAATAGTATGTAACAAAGTACTAATCTGTATAATCGTTTGTTTGATAATAGCACACGCCTGCCTCCCAAACTCTCCCGGCTTCTCGCATCTCCCCAACTCCAGACTATCCACCACTTAACCCTCGGCTTCGAAGACAGCTTCATCCTAACCTACCGCTCCACCACTGGAACCTCTCACACCGAATCCTCAGGCCCTTTACCAGCTGAACTCCTCTCCTTCATCCACGCCCCCAACCGCAACATACCGCAACTCCGCTGCTACCTAGGCCCCTACAACTCCTCCTTCTTCACCCACGACTCGTCCTCGTATCTCTGGCAAAACCTACCCCCACCCTTCCTCTCCGCACTCGAGAAGAATATAAAAAATGGAAAGTGGCGCGACCGTCCCCGCATCGTTGCTCTAGGCGCTGATGCGAATTTCATCCTCATCACCGAGAAAAATACCGCGGTCTGGGATCTACCATGTTACCCCCACTTGCGCTCCCTTCTCGAAGAGAAGAAAAAGGAGGGAAGTGGCATGAGGGAGGTGCAGAATGTAACGCTACATCCCCACCGCTACGCTTGCTTCCTACTTCACTTCAAAAATGGGAAGTTGGAGTTTGGTAATGTGCCGCCGCATCAGGTGGCGGGCGTGAATGCGTTGCTGGAGCCGTTGAGGAAGGATAGTGAAGAGAAGGGGACGGCGCCGTGGATGGCGAGACGCGAAAGTAGTAGTAGTAGTAGTAGTAGTAGTAGTCAGGTGGAGAGACCGCAGCGCCCGAGTTTGTTGCAGCAGAGGGCGCAGTTGAGGAGGGAATGGGGGGAGAGGACGAGTGAGGTCGAGGTTAGGGGGAATGGCGTCAAGTTGAGTTTTAGTCTTAGTGTTAGTCTGGGGGGTGGGTTGGGGAGGTTGCTTGGTTGAGATTTGTTTTCCTTGTGGAGTTTGATTCATGGCTGTATTTGGGTATATCATGGCGTTGGACGGGGGTTGGCATTCTCTCCTTGTTGTATATTTTCTTTATATCCTCAAATCCATAGCTTGGGCAATTTTTAATAGTTGTATATATACCCTCTTACGCATGCCTTTTTTACTTACCCCCCCAAGTCACCTTTTTATACAAAACTCAATTGCAGATATAGATTCTACTTCATTCTACGGATACAAAAGAAAGTGAGATGGCACTCACGTAAGCCCAATAAGTCTGACAGATACGGTTCAACCTACCAGAAGGGTGAAGGTTTGAATTTCAAAGGGTATAAAGAAAACTTGGATACTGAAAAAGATCCAGAAGAGAACATTCTGAATTCGCTCCAAAAAGAACAACAGAAAAACATACATGAAGCAAACGCCGACTTCCTGAAAACGCCATTTCGCGGAATAAAGGACCATAAAAAAGAATCATGAGCAATCTTTCCAGTAAACACAAAGTAAACGTTTCTTCCATACATTGACACACACACACCGGACTTCCAATCAACGGGGTTCACAAATCATCATCATCAAACATCTCCACTTCAAACTTCGCCCCGAGCGCCTCATTTGCCTCCTTCAGCATAGCCGACATTTGCAAGCTCATCCTCCGCATGCGCTCATCCTCCTCCATCTCCTCCCTCCTCACCTTATCAATCAAGCGTTGGCTCTCCTGCGGCAACGGACTCGCCACACTAGTATTCTTATCGAAAAACGCAGTAGGAGAGCCGTAGCTAAGACGGGAGTATGAGCGCGAAGATGCAGGGGTGCCGGGGGAGAATTTTGAGAGTGAAGGAGCGGGACTGTGCAGGGAGCGACGGTCTGTTGTTGAGCGGCGGGAGACGGGGATTAAGGAGGGCCGCTTTTGAGAGGGGGTGGAGAGGTTTGCGCGGGAGACAGGGCGTGGGATTTGGGACGAGGGCGAGCGGCCGTGGCCGGGGAGACGTCGCTCGGATAGGCGCGGTGTGCCTGGTCGGGATTCCATTTCGCAGTCTGCGCCGACCATGACCCAGTTGTCTGTTGTGCGCAGGCGTTTTGCTAATCGCGGGCGCTCCGGGGTTATGGAGGGAAATGGTTGGATGCCGTAGTCGTCGCGCGGGAATGTGCCTGGGGTTGGTTGCTGGACGGGTCCTGGGTGGTAGGGATCGTCCTGAAGACCCAGTTTCTCGGCCACATCCGCATTCGAGTCGATGTTGTATTTCTGTCCACTGCCTGCTTGGAAGCCGCGGAAAGGTACCGTGCAAAACTCAAACAGCTTGCCGGCTACTCCGCCTACAAGGCTGATCAATGACCAAGCCTTGCTTCCATTCGGTGTTGTGTGCATCTCTCCAGCCGCCGCCTGCGTAGAAAGGCCAACCTGGGGAGTTGGTGGTACAGACCAGGTGCCGCGTTGGCTTTGGAGGTTGAAGTAGTCGTCGTAGTCGCCGTCTCGCCGTCCGAATGTCTGCGGTCCATCCATCCCCCCAGCGAGTTCGTAGCGATCGTTTGCGAGCGGAGGCGGACTCTTGTTGTTGACGAAGCGGTTGTTGCTCAGGGGATAGTCGCCCCAAGAGCCTGGCGCAGCGTTGTCGCCATATCGCGATCGCTTCCGGGTCTCGTGCGCATCCGAGTCAATCACCTGGCGACCACTGGTTTCAGACGCAAGCGAGTACCGCCTCGTTGCGTCGAAGCAGCTATTCCGCGAGTCTCCACGTGTATGCGATGGCGAAAACGTATACGGTCCAGGCATGTCGTTGGGATAGCGCAACTGGGCGGCCATGCAGGGAGGTGGATCGGGGTTGCCTGTGGGACGTAGTTTCAGGGACGGCTAGCGGAGCGGACGAATGAGGTCAGCGTTGGTGCAAGGATGGCGGGTGCTGCTTCTCGAAAGCTTCGGTAGTCGGCAAGTCCCCAGGAATCGGAGAATTAGTTAGAGCTTCATAATGGGTGTGGCGTGTGTGGTGATGGAGATGCGAGTGGGGAACCGTGCAAATCAATCGTTTGTTTATGGTAAGCCGTCGCTGGGGTAGCGAGTAGCGAGGAGCTTGGACAGCCATCGTCAAGGTGGTCGCGACATTGGCCGCATCGTGAGTCTGTTGAGCACCTTTTCGAGGGCGCATGAATAATGTGTATTCAACAAATGATGTGCAAGCGATAATGCCATAAGTACGTACGAAGTTACAACGCCTCCCGTGACCAGGGTATACCCTACCTAGACGCCATCTAATCAGCAGCTGGATCCTCCTCGCCTGATATCTCATACAAATCGTCCTTGTCTTCTCTCCTCGTACATGTAGTTTGCATCCTCTTCCTCATCATCACCCATCTCCTCTCCCTCAACAGGTGCCTCCTATGCCCTTGCTATCCATCCACTATGCACAAAATATTCAAACAACTGCGATGACTTGTTGGTGTCAATCTTGCAAATCTCCTTGGCCGTCTTCTTCTTGAGCGCACCGCCGTTCAGGAGGGCTGTACGAAGAATCATTTCCTTGAGCGCGATATATGGTTTCGGCATGATTCGCAGGACACTGCACAGTTCTACTTCCTCGGCGCTAAGCAACTGGAGATCTGCCTTGGACTCTTTGCCAAACTTCAGAGGCACTGTGTTAGGAAGTGGCTTCGGTACAAATTTGGTCTTTGTAAATTGAGGGGTCGTCACTCCATTGGTGCCGTTAACACCATTAGTATTGTTGGGCGCACGGTCTGGTGGTGGTGTACTCAGTCCGCTGCTCTGCTTGACGTGCAGGGGAAGTTCTTGCGCAAGCAGTGCAGTGGCGGCTGATGGCTGCTCAAAGGGAGGTTGGGGCTTTGCCATCCTACTAGACGCGAGACGGTCGAACTGGCCAATGGGCGGTGGCCTGGTCTGCCGTTGCTGCTTTTCCTGCTCATACTTTTCGCCAGCCTTGAGACTGGTGATCTGCATGTTCCTCCACTCCTGTAGTTGTGAGATGGCCTGTCGCAGATTATGCTCGTACTCAAGGTCTTTGCAAAACTGCTCAAAGTCGGGGTGTAGCATCATTCTCGCAAAGGGCTTAGCTTTGTTCATGAGATCCTTCTCTTCCTTTGTGCGCTTCTTGTCTGCCAGTTGATTTTTGCGGTACTCGAGCAGCTGATGCTCGAAAATAATCTTCTTCCTCTCCACACGTGCGTCCAGGCGGTGGTTGTAAATCTCCATAATGACCATCTTCAACTCCATTTCGGGTTCAATCTCGCCGGTGCGGGGATTGATGCCATCGCCCGGCTCGAACTGCATGTGCTGGACCGCCTCTTCTGCCTCGTTAAAATACTCGGTCTCAAACTCCAAACGACCTGGCATGTAGCCTTGGACCTCGTGACAAGCGGGGACACTGGCCGTAGGTTTCTGCTTGGGAGCCTCAGGCTCGCGACTGGCAGCCTCTTCCTTCTTCTTCTCGATTCTCCGCTTCTTCCTCGCCTGGAACTCGTGACGCGGTATGCGTGTGCTGAGCTCGGTGTCATCCTTGCTGCAGTGTTCCGGCAGGGGAAAGCTGGGGCTGTTCAGGTATGTGTCGATGTAGTGGTCTCGCACTTCGTCCTTTTCGCGGAAGCCGCCAATGTGGTCGGCAATGTCTGCCCAGGAACCCAGGCCATATGTCTCTGCTCCCTCTAGGAGAGCCAGCTCCTCGTCGGCGCCCCAGTCCTCGGTGAAAATAGGAATCGAATGCTGCTCGATAACCTTGAACTTGTGCTTGGCAGGCTGGTGGTCCTTTGTGGCCTTGCCTTCGGCGAAGCATGGCACGCAGAGGTCATACTCGTGGCATACCTCCTCGGCGCAGCGAATGCGGACCTGCAGGGAGGGTTAGGACGCGTGCAATGGCAGCATGGAGAGCAAGGCATAAACGGACCGTTGACGTGATGTCGGAGGAGCAGACGTCGCAAACATACTTTGTGCCGCCCTCGGTACCGCGCGCACCTGTCTTCTTCTTGATGACGCCCATGGTACCCCGCTCGGCTAGGCGTGAGGAGGCAGGTGAACGAGTGTCGTTGTCGTAGTCGTCGTCGCCACACAGACTACACTAGGCGACCAGACTGGACGGGTCAGGTTTGGGGTTGGGGTGGGCGCGCGGAGGTGAGACAGGACATGTGGCTGTGCGCAGGGCACTGCAGTGCAGACGCGCGTGTCAGTTCGCAGGCGGCGGACTAGCGGTAAAGCCGCCAGCTGGGCTGCAACACGGCGGGACGACAGGGCCCCAGGGCTGCACGGTTGCGCGTCTCCAGGTCTCGGGACGCTGATGCGATGCGATGCGATGCGATGTCGGACGGTGGTGGTGGTGGTGATGCAGAATGACGGACGTGGGTGAGCTGGTATGTGGTGATGTCTGTGTGTGTGCATGTATGTGTCTATGTACGCGCAATAGGAGGTTGCCCGCGGCGGAAGCTGCAGCCGAGGCGAGCAGACAGACAGCGCAAGCAAGTACGCAGACACACTGCACTGCACTGCACACTGCCCTCTGCCCTGGGCATCTGTTACAACATGTCGCGTCTCCCGGCACCCGTTGTCGCCAGTAAAAGAGGAGAGAATTGCGCCCGGCCCGCGTCTCTGCTCGTCGTAGGGGCGGGTCTAAACACTGGGAAATGACAGAGGGCGCGAATGGGCGTGTCAGTGCGGGAAACACGACCTGGTCGCCGCCGGCCGAGATTAAGGCTAGCGACCCAATGACCCCTCAAACGTGAGACCCTATCTCGAGCTCTGGAGAAGCGTACTCAAAGCGCTGGGCGGCTCTCGGACACCAGACACGTTGCCACTGTCGATGCTCCCTGGGGCTTTCTTCTGTGCCTCTCTCTCCTTTCTGACGCCTCTGCGCCAACAGCAAACCCACGCCCACTTCTGCCCTCATAAGCTGCACCGCCGCTCCTTGGGTGCGCACACCCCCTCTCTCTCGCCGCCTGCCCCCAAGTCTCCACCCTCTGACCATATTCGTCTGTCTTTCTGCACCTAACCACCGCTGAGCTGCCGCAACCATGTCTTGGAAGCTCACCAAGAGTGCGTTTCCCTCCCCCTCGTCAGCCCTGCCGCTCCAATTCTAACCACCGTTGCAGAACTCAAGGAGACGCACCTGGCGCCCTTGGCCAACACATTCAGTCGCTCGTCGTCGACGTCCACAATAGTCAACGACCAGGCCACGCCCAAGGCCTCGAGCCATGCGAGCAGCCTCACAGACGCAAAGGACAATGGCATTGGTACAAACACACGCCCCCGCCCCTGCTTTCGCCTCTGCTGACCACAGACACAGCTGCGTCCGAAGCACAATCGTCCGCGCCTGCTGGGCCCCTGCGCCCAGGTATCCTGATAGTCACCCTGCATGAGGGTCAGAAATTCTCACTGCCTCCGGGCGCCGAGCAGCAATTCAGTGGCCAGGGCCACCACCAGGGCTCCCTGTCCCAGGGTGGCGGCCTCTCTGTCGCTGGCTCAATGCGCCCTGGCTCGTCCTCTCGCAACGCCGCTGGCTCCTACGCCGGCCGCCCACAGTCTGCTGCTGGCAGCATCAATGCAGCACCTACTATCCACGGTCGTTATTCTTCGAAACACCTTCCCTACGCCCTCGTCGACTTCGACAAGCAACAAGTCTTCATCAACGCCGTCTCAGGTACTCCCGAGAACCCTCTTTGGGCTGGCAGCAACACACAGTATAAGTTCGATGTGTCGCGCGCTACCGACGTCACCGTCTCGCTCTACATCCGCAACCCTTCAGCTGCACCCACTGCTGGTCGCAGTGAAGACATTTTTATCGGTACTCTCAAGGTCACGCCACGATTCGAGGAGCAGCAGCAAGATGGAAAGCCGGCAAAAGCAGAAGATGGATCTGGCCAGGCTGGCGCTGACTGGATACCCGTGCAATTTGGTAGTGGTCAAATGAAGGTTGGCGTTAACTTCGTCGAGAACCGACAGGACCGTCTTTCAATCGACGACTTTGAGCTCCTCAAGGTTGTAGGCAAAGGCAGTTTTGGAAAGGTCATGCAAGTGCAGTATGTGCTTACTCTTCCGCCCCCATCTCTCGTATGCTCACAGAAAACAGGAAAAAGGACACGCACCGAATCTACGCCCTCAAGACCATCCGCAAAGCACACATTATTTCCCGCTCTGAAGTCGCGCATACCCTAGCCGAACGTTCAGTATTAGCCCAGATTAACAATCCCTTCATTGTGCCACTGAAGTTTTCGTTCCAGTCGCCAGAGAAGCTCTACCTAGTCCTAGCGTTTGTCAATGGTGGCGAGCTTTTCCACCATCTCCAAAAGGAGCAGCGTTTTGATATCAACCGAGCCCGATTTTATGCTGCTGAACTTCTCTGTGCTCTGGAATGTCTGCACGGTTTCAATGTCATCTACCGTGACTTGAAGCCAGAGAATATTCTGCTCGACTACACGGGACACATTGCTCTCTGCGACTTTGGTCTCTGCAAGCTTGACATGAAGGACGAAGACAGGACAAACAGTAAGTCGCTTAGGACCCTTGCCGCATCCTGACACTGACCCTGCATAGCGTTCTGCGGAACCCCAGAATACCTTGCTCCTGAGCTTCTGACTGGTGCTGGCTATACCAAGGCCGTGGATTGGTGGACGCTCGGTGTGCTGCTATATGAGATGTTGACTGGTCTACCACCATTCTACGATGAAAACACCAACGACATGTACCGCAAGATTCTTACCGAGCCTCTTCATTTCCCAGGCCCCGAAGTTGTGCCGCCAGCCGCGCGAGACTTGTTGACCCGTCTACTAGACCGTAACGCAGAGAAGCGGTTAGGAGCCAAGGGCGCAGCGGAAATCAAGGCACACTACTTCTTCCATAGCATTGACTGGCGAAAGCTGCTCGAGAGGAAGTACGAGCCTAGCTTCAAGCCCAATGTGGTGCGTATACTCACAATACCCAAATATCGATACATGCTAACAGATCGCAGGTTGACGCAAAGGACACTGCAAACTTCGACCGCGAGTTCACTTCCGAGGCGCCGACGGACTCGTATGTCGATGGACCGATGCTCTCCCAGACGATGCAACAGCAGTTTGCAGGTTGGTCATACAACCGCCCCGTTGCTGGTCTCGGCGATGCCGGTGGCTCAGTAAAGGACCCGTCTTTTGAGGGCGTGACTGAAAGATAAGGCACTTTTGGACTCAAAATAACTCGGCTTCGGAGCCGTTGAGTTGGTGCTTGGCTTGTCCCGGCGATGGAGCCGAGCGCAAGGAAAATCATCCACCGGCTTTGGATGGCTCCACAGACAGAATGCATATTGATTGGTGGCTTCTCAGCGCTCTTTGATGCTTTTTTGGGTTCGGGAGCAACGGTATGGCGCTTGAGGCAGCATTTGTATGAGAAATGCCTATATTCAGGCTAAGCAAATCAAGACGATATCCCCATTGAACCACATGCCCCCAATGGTGCATAATAACTCACCCATGTGCATAGCCGTAGCGTCCATGAGACACACCTTACTCATCGGCTTGGTAAGGCTAGAGCCAACGGGAGAGCTGCTGCCCGGCTTCCTAATGCTGGTAAAAGTGGTGCCCCTCTCAACCAAGCTCTGACGCAAGCGGGGGTCTCGGCCGCGCGCGCCCTTGACATTTCTCCTACCCTTCAGTCAAAGCACTAACAATCACCTCATCAACTCTACTTGCAAATCTTCACTCGTCTCTCCCTCTTGTAATTGACCCCTCCTAATACCCGACTGTTCACCGTGAAAAACTTTGATAGTTCGTATACACCAGTCCCGTATACGTCATTGCATACTCACCCCACCTCTCCAGCCCTGTAGCTCAACATGCCTGGCTTCGCACAAGCCTCGGACCTCAGCGCCTGGTCTGCGCTCCAGGACCACCACCAGAAGCTTGGAAAGGACATTGTCCTCAAGGAGTACTTCAAGAAGGACCCCCAGGTGAGACACAAACAATCCGATGCATCCATTGTCTAATCCCATGTAGCGCTTCGAGAAATTCAGTCGTACTTTCAAGAACGATGCCGAGAACTCCGAGATTCTGTTCGACTTCTCCAAGAACTTCATCACAGAGGAGACCCTGAAGCTGCTCGTCGAGCTTGCAAAGGAGTCTGGCCTCGAGAAGCTCCGTGATGACATGTTCGCTGGTGAGAAGATCAACTTCACTGAGAACCGTGCTGTCTACCATGTTGCGCTCCGCAACGTCTCCAACCAGGAGATGAAGGTCGACGGCCAGAGCGTTGTCGAGGATGTCAACAGCGTTCTCGATCACATGAAGGAGTTCAGCGAGCAGGTCCGCAGCGGCGAGTGGAAGGGATACACTGGCAAGAAGATTGACACCATCATCAACATTGGTATTGGTGGATCTGACCTGTATGTTACCGCTGCGTTACAGAGCTTCAATTGGCGTCACTAACGTGGAACAGTGGCCCTGTCATGGTCTCCGAAGCCCTCAAGGCTTACGCAAAGCGCGACCTCAAGATTCACTTCGTCTCCAACATTGACGGCACACACATTGCAGAGGCCCTCAAAGACTCCAACCCTGAGACCACCCTCTTCCTCATTGCCTCCAAGACATTCACCACCGCTGAGACCGTCACCAATGCCAACACTGCCAAGAGATGGTTCTTGGACAGCGCAAAGCAAGAGGACATTGCCAAGCACTTTGTCGCTCTCTCTACCAACGAGGCCGAGGTCACCAAGTTTGGTATTGATAAGAAGAACATGTTTGGCTTCTCCGACTGGGTCGGTGGACGTTACAGTGTCTGGAGTGCCATTGGTCTGAGTGTTGCCCTCTACATTGGCTTCGACAACTTCCACCAACTCCTTGCTGGTGCCCACGCCATGGACAAGCACTTCAAGGAGGCCCCTCTTGAGCAGAACATTCCCGTCATCGGTGGTCTGCTCAGTGTATGGTACTCTGACTTCTTCGGTGCCCAGACACATCTTGTCTCTCCGTAAGTTTGCGTGGCATTTACCAGGTGATATGTATTCTAACTATGGTCTAGATTCGACCAGTACATGCACAGGTTCCCCGCCTACCTCCAGCAACTTTCCATGGAGTCCAATGGAAAGGCTATCACCCGCAGCGGTGACTACGTCAAGTACACCACCGGCCCCATCTTGTTTGGTGAGCCCGCCACCAATGCACAGCACTCGTTCTACCAGCTCCTTCACCAAGGCACGAAGCTCATTCCCACCGACTTCATCCTGGCTGCCAAGAGCCACAACCCCGTTGACAACAACAAGCACCAGAAGATGCTTGCTTCCAACTTCTTCGCACAGGCCGAGGCCCTCATGGTCGGCAAGACACCAGATGAGGTCAAGGCTGAGGGTGCACCAGAGGAGCTTGTTGCCCACAAGACGTTCCTTGGTAACCGCCCAACCACTTCAATCCTAGCAGACAAGATCACACCGGCTACTCTGGGAGCCTTGATTGTCTACTACGAGCACCTTACCTTCACCGAGGGCGCTATTTGGAACATCAACAGCTTCGACCAGTGGGGTGTTGAGCTCGGCAAGTCGCTGGCGAAGAAGATCCAGGCTGAGCTTGATGACGACAAGGAGTCGACTGCTCACGATGCCAGCACCAGCGGGCTCATCAATGCATTCAAGAAGAAGTCTTCCTTGTAAACGACGGAATGTATGTAACGGTAGAGGCACGGCTGTAACAGCTGGAGGATTTCCTGAAAAAGGCCAACTAGTACGTGGTATGTAAGCGCCTGGAAGCATCCCTTGATAGCCGCAGCATCATGATAT